CTCATAACTATGAGTCATGTGAAATCCATCAGCTGATTCCTATGAGTCGCTGCGCAACATACCTAAAACCAATCAAAACATAATAACCAACTCAGATACGCAACTCGTGTTACCTGAGTGAAACCCATGACTCATAATTTTGAGTCATGTGTGAAAATCATAACATTGTGTGACTCACAATTGTGAGTTATGAATAGGTAAACATAATAACCTATTATCACTAGTGTACGTCATATGAGATCCAACATACCTATAGCTTGGAATCCCAAGCTATGTAAAATCCGCCTGGCTTAGCCGCAGTTTGTGACCACTAACTCAATAGTAGAATTTCTAGCCATTGTCAGTGGGAGGGAATCGCTCTGCTGATTTTATTAAAAATAAAAGACAATTTTACTACTCCTAATTGAGAGGTTGGGAAACTAGTGATATTGGAAAATATGGAGGTCCTGGAGATGTTGTATTTTGCAACATCACTATTTTTCAAACCACTTAATAAGAAGTACTAGAATTGTCTTTTATTTTTGCCTGAATGAGCAGTGTGATTCCTTCTAACTGACTATGACCCAGAATTCTACTATAAAGTTAATATGGTTGTCTTGTTAAAAAATATGCTGTTTTCAGAAATATGGCATTTTTTTATATGGTTGCACGCCAAACAGGGCCTAAATATTATAAGTAAAGTATAGTATTGTATCATACTATTGAATTTATAAATATACAAATAATAGTAAAAGGTAGGGGAATTAAATGCAGGATTTGTATAAGGTATAGTTTTGAGGGTTTTGCCCTTCTTCCTCACAGGGCTGCCAGTAAGTGTTACATGTTAAATGGAGCCAGGTACACACTCTAGCTGCATTGCACCATATTCTAAATAAGAGGATCTAAAGTAAATAGGACAAAATTATTGAAGCAAGTAATAGAGTCAAATAGGGTAAAATAGGAGGGCACAACTATCATCCTAATTCGGAAGTCAGTAGTCATACAAAGAAACGCCCAATTGTGTAGTATCTACTCAAGTCGCCGGATCGAAGCTGCTCCCACTTTGGCGGTGAACCTCAATCCGGCGACTTGAGTAGTAATATCATAGGTGACGATAAGTAAGCAAATGAAACAGAACTCAAATGAAAACCAAAAAAAAACAGGGGAAGGAAAGCACTACCGGGTATTGATCCCAGCACCGTAGGTAACAACTAACATCAAGCCAGTTACGTTATCAGCGGCATGCACATTCCATCACAACCCATACAGTATCCGACATTCCAACTCAAAACATTCCCCCATCGTCACGGCCGATCACTCGATGCCTTAATTTAATTTCGCTTATCACACCATTCTCGCGCAATGGCCAAGAACCCTGAACTTCCGATCCCCCGCCCCCCCGATAGCGGATTTAACGAGTGGGCACGGCGGTACAGGACCGTACCCGAGTACATACCGAGTACGGTACTGCACTGTACCCTACTGTACTGCACTTTATCATCCAGGCGCTTTTTTAGTTCACATATTATTATATTTAATTGTCGGTAAGACTGCCGGGTGGGTAGGGATGTGTGCTTCTATGATATGATACGGTACTCGAGTACCGTACCCATACCCTATCCTTCCTTACTTCCTTCCTTACTCAGTTCATAGATTGATTGATTGATTGACCGATGGCTAGTGAAAAATTGCGGGGGGGAGGGAGGAGGAGTGTAAGAAGGAGAATATAGTAATAATAATAACAATGGTGTGCATTTGGAATTAAAAAACAAAAAAAACTTTTGTCCAATCCATTTGACAGTATCATGGCTTTCCGGTTGCTAACTATTCTGACGAAGCTTTGCTTGCCATGTTCCGTCCTGTTCTGTTCAGAACTCGACACGACACGCGATTCACAATCTACACCGGTTCCGACCCACCGTATGATACTGTAGATCTGCCCATACAATTTCAAATCCCAAGATAAGAGTCCGTCCAATTCCCCCTCATCCCCCCCCCACCCTGCCCCGGCCTATTACCGCAGAAATTTTGCTTAGTGTCCGTTTTGGGAGCTCCGTGGTTTCCGACCCTTATTTATTTCGGGGGTGGGTCGTGCCCGGTTTGGGCTTCGAGGGAGCGGTAGCTTTTGCCTAAAGATTCTTGCTTGCAGTACTTGTACAGTACTTGCTACCCGGGAGGGAGGGAAATCTTATTAATGCGATTATTTTTTACTTGCTTGCTTAGGTATCATACCCGTAGTCATTGCCTTGTTTGTTTTTTTTGTTTCGTTTTTTTCCTTCCCCGCCGGCCTGGGTGTGGCCATGGCGATGGGGATCTCTGGTTTGGTCTCGGAGCCTGCGGTGAGAGAGCGAGGGGCGAAGGATCGGAGACTAATTTGGGTGTGTGTGGTGTGTGCATTTTTTCTTCTTCATATGATGAGTTACGTAGATCTGGTCGAGACGCCGTTCCCGCGCTTCCATTTGTGAAGCTGTACTGTACTGTAGGCAAAAAAAAGTCACAAGGCGTGGTGGACTCGCATCGACTTATGGCTTGCACTGTAGGCAGTTGTAACTTACCGGGAGTCCATTTGCGCGGGTGAGTGGTGACGACTCTGTGAGCGCAATACCGGCATTGAACGTTATTGGGACTACCAAGAGCCCGCCCACCCAGCTGAACGGCAACCGGTAGCTAATTCGCAGTCTAGCCGAGTTATCTTGCCCGGCCTTGGTCTTGTGGGCCCATTTCAGAAGTTGTGAAAGGAGTCTTGGCACCACGCGACCTGCGGTATCATAAGTTATCACACCTACCATAGCCACCGGTACGGCACACTATTTGGCAGGCGATACAATCCTCCCAAACACCTATCAGGACCTGACGAGACGGTGCCCCACGGATAATATCCCGGGCCATTCCATGGCCTTGAGAACCGGGAGGGAAAGCAAGCAAGGTATACGATTGCAGGTAGGAAATCCGGAAGGTGGCGAAAAAAAAAAAAGCTGAAAAAGAAAGTCTGGGAAGGAAAAGCCAATCGAGGGGATTAAGTTGGCTTGGTTGGATGTCGATCGAGACCAGAGAGAAAGCACGGTACGATGTAGGGAGAGTTAAGGGGGTCGAAGGGAGGAGGTGAGGTGAGTTGATCAGAACGCAAGGGTCATCAAACCACAACTCGAGACGACGTACCATATGATATCTGTGTGGTACGGGCATTTGGCTACCGGTACTCGAGTATTAGTTTTATGGTGTGGTTGTAGCTGTGCTCGTGCAGAGTATCCTACCAGGCGATTTTTTAAGCAAGTGATCTGGTTATGGTATGCTCAAGTATCATGCCTAATGCCTGCCCAGGTAAATACCTGATTTTGTCCAAGTACTCGTAGCTGCAACTCACTCTTTCGATCAGGTAACTCGCGTTCCAAATACTTTAAAATGGCCGGGTACAATGGCTGCTGTATACTGTATATGCACGGCTGCCTGTTTCGGAGGTGCCACCACGCCCGGGGCGAGCCTTGGACATTGTATGATGGTCGACTCGTGATCATGGTTCCGCCTGAAGAATATTGAATACTTACTAAAAGAGCCCCATAATGCAGGGGCGAGCAGGCTCTTGGTCAATTACCGGTGCTCTTTCTTGATAATTCTAATCGCTGTGATCGACAGCCCTACTGTATCTCCCTTTGCATCCCATCCCCATCGGGACATGGAGACATGGGGGCACGAGGATCATGAGGATCATGAGGATCATCGCAGACAGGCGGTCCATCCCTCTGGTGTTATCCTTTACTTTTTGTTGTTCCTATCGCGCAAGCACGGGTTCTCTGCAAGCTCATTTTGAGTGGTTGGCTGGGTAAGTCAGTTGTCGGATGGTCTGGCCCCTACGCTATTCACCCCCTCTCCCCACGGCAGGGCAGGCGCAATGTTTGTGCCGAATAAAAAAGAGATCAGAGGTTAAACAGCTGGCACCACGACTTTTTGGTTGCAACAGAAGATCAAACATCACCAGAACCTGCCTGCTAGAACGAAAATAGTACTTGTATCATACCAAGAAAAAACAAACAAAATATATTTAATAAGAAGGATCATTTCCTAAACAGTAGGCATTAACCCATCAAAAATGATTTCCCATTGCTCTCCTGACCATACCATAAAAACTCATTAAATCCACTGTCACCTGCCTCAGAACTTCCAATCAGAGACAAAAACACTTTAAAAAGGAATTGTGTTTTCCGGATAGAGTATGGCTTGGAAAGGCTGGGGGTGTCAGTAATTTGCTAACCTGCCCAACCAATCCTATCGCGGTTTAGCTCAATAGTCTCTATCAGGATACAAGTGTCCAATGATGGAATTAATAGGTTATTAGGGGTTTTTATTTATTCACCTTTTTAAAAAGCGACCTTGCCCAAAAATCACAGCCCAAGGAAATTGTTTAAAAATCGAAGCCCATTTGGTTGGGTTGTGAGGATTTTTATTTTATTCTGGTATCATACCATAATGCCATGGCCTGTAGGAGTACTGAGTACAGCACGCACAACCTCGGTCGATTTTTTTATCCGGCACAAACAATGGCCCTGCCCTGCCGTACCCCCCCAATCTTCCTCCTTCACTCCCTCACTTGACTCTCCCCACCATGATCCTTCCCCCACACGGGCCATATATTATGAGTAACCTCACCTTACCTTACCCCGGGTGTGGAGTGGGCGTCCAAAGTGCAACCTGTGTCGTATGGGGGTGTGCGTGAGGGAGGGGGGGGAGAGGAAGGAGCTTCCATCCACAAACCCTTGAAGCAGAAGGGAAGCCAGCCAGTCTGCCCGTACTGTACTGTACTCGTACGGTAACCGTGCGGTAGTTACCTTTTCTACATAGTCTAGCCTTCCCTTTCGTTCATCGACTAGTCATAACCTACGGCGGGGGAACTGAGGCCAGACGAGAGAAGAGGGGATACCGTTACCGTAGGGAGGAGAGTGGGAGGAGAGTGAGAAAGTGTGGAGAGGGGCTGGAATGGGCAAAGAGCCCCACTCTTTTGCAAGCCCTCCTCCATCCCGACATATCATAGCACAGCACCGCAGCTCGCCCACGATGCAGCATTAAGTTAAGCAAGGTTCGGCGGGGGTAAGGTGCTTGCGATGTGCCCAGATAACTACATTACTTTTCCTCACAGCCGTCACCGCCGTACTCATACTCATACTCCTTACGCGTCAGTCAGGCCAATACCTGCTACCGGTATTTGCTTTGCTTGGTTTCTTGGTTGCTTGCTGCCCACAAACCGCATACGCCCGCAGTCCGGGTATCTCTCTCACTTCTAACTGCCGTGGACGTTTGTTATTTCGTTTTTTCTCCTCTTTTCTTTTCTTTTCCTCTTGAGATTTGTATCCTTTCGGTTTGTCTGTTGCACCCGCTTCAAACGCGTTTTGTTTTCCTCTATCGACCTCCTCCTCCCCCCGGTCCTTTTTCTTGATTTGCCCTCTTCCCTTCCCAGACCCTCTCACTTGTGAGGAAAAAAAGAGAGAAAAAAAGAAAAAACACCCCCCACCTAGCAGCCGAGTTACCGCTCGGAATTCTTGCTGTGTCATCCCGTCTAACTCCACCCTTACTCCACTCGCCTTTCCGTCCATCTGTCGTTTCAATATAACTGCAAGGAAAGAAAGGGAGGGAAGGAAGTGGAGCCCGGTAGCCCGCGAGTTTCTGATTACAGCTTCATCCTGTCGCTGCCCTTATAGTTCGGAAACCCAAAAGGATCCAGTATCGGTGGTGTGGTAGCGGCACGGCGGCTAACTGAGATCAAGAGGCAGAAAGAAAGGAAGAAAGGAATCAGGGAGAGCAGGAGAGCAAGAGATCAAAGGAAAGGGAAAGATAGGAAAAGAAAAAAAAAAGAAAAAAAAGAAAAAAAAAAGAGGAAAAGAAAGTGCAGGCATACAGTACTGAATTCAAAAGGGAGAAAAAACAAAATAGGGAGGTCGAAATCAAGGAGTCACGCTCAGGGCACGATACCGTGAGTGCGTCCCGGAGAACACTATCTTTTAGAAACACAAGACACGGGATATTGTTGCCAAACTGCGACGATATCGCAGAACCGGTTCGCGCGACTGATCGATAATAAGGCTTCCGTGTTCCTAACAAGAAGATTCGAGGCAGATATATACAGTACGCGGAAGGGCATTCACCACTATCTCTAACCCATTGGGTTTCTTGAGCCTGCAACTCCTGCCTGTCTCGACGGCTGCCCTTTCCCCTCATCGCAGAGGCGGCTCGAATAACGCAAAATATATAACACATCCCTCTGCTGTCTACGGTAATCCTCCAAAACCCCGGTTATCATAACTTATAGATCCTCGACCTTGGGGAGAGCAAGCCGCCGACTACCTCCCCACCATCCGCTGTCGCCGAGATAAAAATAAAAAAAGATAGCAAGAGAAGGAATAGACCGAAAAAGGGCACTCGAATACGACGACTGCTCCGCATTATTAGGGTTCACCTTAAGGGGCGCATACCCTGGCGAAAGGCGGAATTGGGTTTTCTAAAGGGTACCAAGCAAGAGCTAAGTCAGTATGACCACAGCCACGGGTACTGGTGCTTCATTCTCCGCTCCTCCCAAGAGGCTAAAGCCAAAGTCACCAAAATCACCCCGGAATCCTCCAAATTCCCGACTAAACCAACACCCTCGAAATCCATCACCTCCGTCGCCGCTACAATCACGAAGTGTCCCCCCACACGGATCTACACCGAGCTCTCAGTCATTTCTGCTCTCGAGAACAAATTCTTTGCCTTCGACCATCAAGCCCGCATCCGATCGTCACATTTCGCTCCTCGACTTGGAGGACTTTGATCGAACTACCGGTCAACACTATCTTGGAGAGGAAGACTCTTTTGGCCTCCATCCATTCTCCGCCGGTTCCTTGGAAAGCGGCTACGAGCCTCCTTCACCGAGATCTTTTTATAGTGCGGCGACGGCGAGCTCAGCCAGCACAACAAAAGCCGGCGGGGGGCGATCATCGGAAGAGGAATCTCCGATAACTCCCGTGCCTCCAACACACCTGCAGCAGCCATCTTCACCAAGATCAAATCGTAGGCTGAGGCGGCCGACGAGGCCAAACAGTCCTCCTAGCTCGTCAGGTTCTTCATTGGGCGATCGGGTCGCTTCTGGGAGTTCTTCAAGAAGTCACGGAATCGGCTCCTTTGCTGGCTATTCGGGTAGCCATCTATCGGGTCAGTCGCCGACATTAGGGCCTCAGCATGGTGAGCAGACGATTCTAAGGGATTTTGAAAATGTGCGTGTCTCGGCTTTGCTATCACCGTCAGAGTATCTACATCTGTCCCCCCGAGGGGTAGGATGATGCGTGTAGTAAGGAATTACTTGAGGTGCTAACCTTTGATCCATAATTGTTTGCGTCCTAGATGTCACCGAACAATTCTATTCGCGACCTCTGCATTGCCGTGGTAGGGGCAAGGGGTGTGGGCAAGAGTACTTTTATTCAGAGGGCGTATGATCTGAAATCTCCGCCGAATGAAGACACTGTTACCGCAAAGCTTATGACTGTTGAACGGTCGCTATGTACTGTCAAACTGGTGGAGATAGATCTGGCAAAACTTGATCTCGACTCTCAACAGTTGATATGGCCACGGGTGGGTTTTCTCCAATTCCCGTTCTCTGCCCTGCCCAGCCACACATGTCTCGTATTTCATCTGCGCCTTTGGGGGTTTCGCTGATCAGAAGTTAGACGGTGGACGGCCACAGGCTGCCGTTTGTCGACGGGGTACTTATCCTATACGACGTGACGAACCCGGCGAGCATTGAAGAGTTGCCTGAATACCTTGGTGAGTACTGGATGTCTTCCACCTCTCGACGCTGATCTCATACGATATGTTCGCTCTCCCTTCTGTCCCTTTTGCTGATCATGGGCTGGAGTAAATTAGATGCCTTTGCACGGGCTGCGCTCCCGACACTGGTAGTGTCGTGCAAATGCGACGCGCCACAGCGGCAGTTAAATCCTAACAATATTGAGCAAGTGGGTATGGTTGGCGGATATGATGCTATGCAGACTTCTGGTACCTCTCCAGACAGTCAGAGGAAATGTCTCGCCGTGATTTTGAGTATGATCGCGAGGAAAAGTGGTTAGTATAGTTTTATCCGTTTCTTCTTTCCCCTCTGGACACGCAGGCGCTTCGTGCACCCCCGATCGCAGTTTACCCCTATGCTTTCTTGTCCGACAACTGCTCTTTGCTTGTTTGCCTCGTGCAAATAGATTTTCGTGGCAAAATGGGGGATGTTCTTTAGGGCGCAATAATAAGGGGGTTGCTACGCTGCAAGATGTCTAGTTTGTTTTGGCTGGCGTACCACTTTCCTTATCAGATACCCAAATTTTGGCGTCATTTGTTGGGAGAAAGCCGATGCAGCTGCTTGCCGTTTCAATCATCCCTCAGTTATTTATCTTGGCCGGGGTGGTGCTTTTGCCATTTACGCTCAGCGACCGCGTCGATGCGTTACCGGTATTTTCCGTTCAATGCCAGCACACCCTCTCTCATGTCCTAAGCGTCTAGGGATCAATGGGGCTTTTCGGCTTAATAATTTTGTCCCTTTATTTTCTGCGCGCTTTTTGTTCTTAACGTGTTCTATATCATAGTCTCAACTAGTGATTGTCTTTGTCTACACTGAACAAATGCTAACAATCTGGCGCCCTCATTCAGAGAAGAGCCCCCTAAATCTGAATGGTCGGCGGCGTGCAAATTCATCCGCGGCGAATAACAGTCGGACGACTTCACCAAGGCCTTCAACGGCTCGAAGCGGCCACAGTCGAGCGAGCTCAGAGTTCTCAACTACCTATATGAAAGAGTATCCGGAAGTTGCGACACAGAGTGCTCATGCTGCGCAAGCTCGAATACCAAGATCACCCATTAGTTCGGCGCTAGGGGCTCCAGGTATATACAACTCGTCTTCTTCATTGCCGACGAGTGGCTTGTCTGCGGACACCCGGGGCCAACGATTATCTGGCGGATCCGCTCCTCAAATAACACTTTCGGCATCTTCTGGTCCGCTTCTCGAGGTTGTGTCCACTAGTCCTTTTAGTATGCAGCAACCACAAGGAGCCCGTCAGACGCAGAACGGGAGCCCACTCGCCTACACCTCATCGAATGATACGGATAGGGGCAGGAATTCTTTCTTGGATATGGATGATGAGAATGGCGGTCTGAGGGATGTGGATGATATACCGATACTGGAACGTGAGGGCGGAATGGACGATTTTGAGGAGAAAGCGACGCTGAGTAAAGGGTTTACATTTGACGAATTAGTGGACAGGTTACTACGACAACACATGTCCCGAGGAGATCAAGACTTTACGACAATCTTTTTATGCTTCTACAGGAAATTTGCGCCACCAAGGGATCTACTGAATGCCATATTGGAAAGGTTCGAACGGTCAATCTGCGACCAGATTGCCTTGCACCGTATTTCGGCCCAGCTGCGGTACTGCAATATCCTTCACCAATGGGTTTCAGCGCATCCTGGAGATTTTGCCCACCTGAAGACACGTCAGCGGTTATTAAATTTCCTTGAGGTGATATCTAGCAATCGGAATCTGGCGGTATTGGCGAGTGAGATGAGACAGGTGTTGGGACAGGGCATCGAGGATGAAGATGGGGTATGGGCAAGGTCGGATTCAGATACAGAGAGGAAGGATAGTCTGAGGAGTTTCTTGACCACTCACTCGGCTGCGGACAGTTTGGTAGAAGGTGAAGGGGGATACATCAACATTGGTACAGTATCAGAAGGAAATACCCAGATTCCATCGGATAGAGAATCTGGTCTACGAGCTTCGGAGGTGATGAGTAGTGCATCGGTTCGCACGTGCGATCCTATGTCTTCACCGCACCAACCCTTGCTCCAGAAATCGGGAGATTCATTATTGGATGGTGCGTCGATGTGGAAGGAACAATACGAGCTCTTCATGTCGATACCGGACGAAGAAATCGCCACTGAGTTAACAAGGATCGACTGGTTGGAGTTCTCCAACATCAAATGCAGGGACTTGGTGCGGCATGTTAGCATTCCCGCGGATCAGAAGGAAAAATACCCAAGTCTGAGACACGTCAACCGAATGATCAGTCATTTTAATCATGTGGCGTACTGGGTGGCGAGAGTGATTTTGGAAAAGCCGAAGGCTAAGCACAGAGCTCGGGCTTTGGAGAAGTTTATGAATGTTGCTTGGGTGAGCATCCTTCAGATCGGTGCCGGATCATAATCGTGTTCATGCTAAGAATAACAATTCACAGACGCTGCGACACATGAACAATTACAATGCACTCGGGGCCGTCATCGCTGGTATCAACGGCACAGCAGTTCACCGACTTAGCCTTACGAGAGAGCTCGTGAGCGCGAACACGCATAGGCAGTTTATGAGACTGGAGCTGCTGATGGGCACACACATGAGCCACAGCAAGTATCGCCTCGCGTGGGAGAACACTTCCACCGAGCGAATACCCTTTATTCCGCTGCACCGGCGAGACCTAGTATCCGCGGACGAGGGTAACAGGACGTTCCTCGCGGACGGTGACAAGATCAACTGGAATAAATTTCAGGTTATGGGTGACGTACTAATGGTGCTGGTGAGATCTCAAGCAACGCCTTACCGAGACTTGGCCCGCAATCATATTGTGGAGAAATTGATCACGGACGCGGTGGTGAGCATGGATGATGATGTGAGTTTTTTGTCTAAATTTCCCCTTCCCCATTGTGCAGGTGCTTTGTTTTGCGTTTTTTTTCCATCGCACGATGCGAGGGACAGAGATCTTATACGGTGTTCGACGTCATCAGATGTTGATTGGTTTCCAGGAATTGTATGAACGTAGCGTTCAGTTGGAGAATGTTGGCGGTGCGGAGAAGTCGAGGAGGAGGATATGGTTTCAGCGGTGACGGTTGGGTAAATTAAAGGTCTTTTTTCCCCCTTCTATCATTTATATTGCGCTGGCTAAATATCTGCCACAGTTTATTTCTCCGGCGTTGTATTCAGGATACATATTGCTTTCTTCCACTGCTGCCACTTTGTCTTCGTCTGGCGACCTTCCTCCCTTGGTGCAACTAAGAGCAACGGATATTTAGCTTACCTCTTGTACTTGTATCCATCCACTTCACTGGCGAAACTGGTCTTTTGAATCCTTTTCATCCATTCTTTCCGTCTGTCTGCTATTTATTGGGATACGATCTTCAACTTTTTTCCTGTGTGTGGTACCGCTTTTTTTTCTCTTCCCCTCCCCCACCTCTCTGGCCAGCGCCATCAGACAAACGAGTGGGCAATTTTGGTCATGTTCTTTCAGTTATGTATGTAACTTTTTTTCTTCCTTCTGCACGCGTTTTTGTGTATATCTCAAGGTTATGCTGCATGCCTTTTTATTTGTACTTGTCTTTTCGGCATCGGGATTGGGCCTTTTTCCTTTCATTTTATACTATTCGGGAAACATGTGTTTTTAGCTGTTATGTTTCTTCTTGCCTTGGCTAGTTGGCTAGTTATTTTTTTAAATTCTTTGACGCCTTGTTTATTCCTTTTTATTGGCTGGCTGGCTGGCTGGCTGGGTGTTTTGGTGGGCGGTACCTGATGGGAGTTCATTTTTTATTTATTTTTGTTTTTATATATTTAGTGAGAACTACTGTACAAGGGGGAGGATAAGAAAGTAAGAAGGAGGTGAAGAAAGAGGGTTATGTGCAGGATTTTTTATTTAGTTTCTTGGTAATTACGGAGTAAGTGTGCATGGATGGACTGGCGGAAGTGGTGGTGGCGATGGTAGTGGGTGGTAGTGGTAGTGGTGATAGTGGAGGTGGTAGTGGCGATAGCGGTGGTGTGGGATTAGTCTGCTTTTTATTTTTATATTTTCCTATGGGAAATTTTGTGGTGATTCTTTGGCTTGTTCTTGTCGTTTTGTTTCTGCTCGGCGTGAGATATCGCATTATGAGTGTTTATCCATGTGGGAACCATATGGAGTTAGAAACATGTGGCGCTGAAAAACACATTGCACTAGAAACAGAGAGGGCTGGAACCACATATACATTGTGAGGGGACTTTATTCAATGCCAACCCGCATTTAAAGGTTCCTAAAGAAGTTTAAAGAAGTTGGGGTGTTTATGGATTTACATCAATCAACGGGGAGAAATAGGAAGAAGCAAAAACCATAAAGTTGTAGAGAGGGGTGGCGAAGGTGCAAGTAATCGAGATTCATCCAGTATTGTACTATACAACACGTTAGCCATCAAGTACTCGAGTAGTCCATCCGTCTAGTCCCATCCACTCCTTCCTCCCAAGCATAGTCTAAAGGACAAGGGTCCAGCTTTCGATACCATGCCCTTGCACAAATTTCCATCTCATTTGCTACCAATGCCGGGGAATCATCATTTGTGCGTCGGCTAGCAAATATTGTTAATCGACAGTGGAAACGGAGCACTGTCCTGTACAGTACTGCACGCTTCTACAACCTCCATTGTTTACACCATTAATTATCATCATATGATACCTCGGCTCCCGTTTTTTTTCAAATCCCTAATCATCAAAACAGTCTAGATTTTTTAAATTTTTTTAATTTTTTTAATTTTTTCTTTCGTACCGTACCGTGCTGTACTTGTACTGTACAGTACCCTCGTACATGATATAAATAATTATATATAATTATAATTATAATTTAATTCGCCTAACAATTATCTCCCCAGATAAAAATAGGAGAGATGAGAAGGAAAAAAAAAACTAAAAAAAAAAAAACTCAAATTGATCATGGTACAGTACAGTCTATACTGTACTCGTACGGTGGTGTTTTCACTTGTGGCATTACCGGTAGGGACCGACGAGTTTTCCCCCTCGCCCCCCTCATGCTGAGAATGTGCAAAGTATCATACGAGTATTGCCGTACCCTTCCGAAAACCTTTTTTTCATTTTTTCACCTTCTTCTTCTTCTCTGTTGCCGTGGTACGATATCTTATGATAAATCCATGACACGAGTGAAAAAAGTCAATTCGAATAAAAAAAATTAAAAAAAATATATATATATATAAAAAAGGGGGTGGAGGAGGAGGAGGAGGAGGAGGAGGAGGGGGGGGGGGCGATGATGGGAATGTCTACCGTAAATCCGTGCCCCTTCGAATGATTTTCCCTTATGGTAGGTACAGTACAGTACAGTACAGTACGGTACAAGGTTAACTTACCGGTATGGGTTTAAATTTTTTTTTTTTTTTCACTGGCTGGTAAAATTGGATTTATTTATATTGAATGTCCAGAAGTGGCAATTTGTACCGGTGTATCGTACCATACTTGTGCTGTACTGTACAGTACTGTATAAATTTAACCCACGCCACAAAGAGTTTATCGGCCTGGCCGGCCGGCATGTTCGTTCGGTTTCAGAGTCTCCAACTGGCGGGCGGTGCCGTCGATTTGCGTTTGTAACTTGATCGGCGGTCCCGGTGGTGTCGTGCTGGTTTATTTGGTCTCGTGCTTATGGCGCGAGTGAGTATTATTATACTGTATACAGGTTACCGGTATGATAGGAACTCCCACTGCTGAGATGGATTGAGTTCGGGGGGTTTGCCGAAAAAGAAAAAAAACTGTTGTTCGTTATGCCTCGCCTGGGTATGTATCGCCGACGACTGGTGTGATACTGGGCTCTTTTATGGGGCAATTGTTCCTGCTCGCACGGATCTTGCTGCCGTTGTGTCGTTCGTTATTCACGGACTGGAGCGGGGTATCGTACGGTGGTCTGCGTGATGACTATCGCGCGCCATGTCTTTTTTATCGAAATTTGAACCTTCTTTGCTGGCTGCCTACCGGTAACTGCACTGCACTGCACTGTAAGTACTACATAGTTACTTTATCTTCGCTAACTTATCATGCTCTGGCTAATCTGCCAAGTGTTCATAGTGCAAAGGAAGCTACTTTAATTTGCCGGATCGGTACGGCGGCAACTAGCCCTGACGGTGGGTCTATGTTAATTGTTCCCACCTATGGACCGAATGCCCCTGGGGAATCGAGGACTATCGCTACCTTTAGTAGTGTTGAGAGTGTGTAATGAGCGGTTTGTGCATGGGTAGAGTTCCGGCACAGGCTTCTGCTTTTTTTTTTTCGTCGGGGGGGGGGGGGGGTCTGCTACCGGTACTGCGCTGGTACCGGTATCTTAGCTTGCCTGCGGAACGTTGATTTTGAACTTTCTCCTAGCGATCGATTACAAAAAAACCAACAAAATTCATTCGTGAATTTCAAGAGTCAGTTCAACCAATAAGATAGATATTTACCCTGAGAAAGCCCAAAGGCGAATGATGGAGAAGCCACGCTTCGGTGGGCTTGGATTGTGGGTTTCTGCTTGATCCATGCTATATACATGTAGCTAAAGCGTGGTATCATTCCCCGATTCTCTTCTGACCATATATATTCCTTCTCTCGAGAAAACTATACACGCGCTCACTCGTCGAGTGAGCGGGTGTGAATCTCAATCTCATTGTTCCGATAACGGGCTATTGTTCGATTCGCGACACTCCCAAATACTACTATTGCCTAACTGTAAAGAAAAGAAGAAAATGGGGGAAAGAAACAGACCGTGCTCATGAAGAGATGCTAACCCGCTGCCGAACCCGGAAACCCATAACGAAAGCCCTAAACAGGCCGGCAGGCCTTAACCTAAGTGGAAACAAAAAATTCCTTCTCCCCGTCACGTGGCTGCACACGACTCCTCCTAATAATATCATCCGCGCAGGAGAGCCTAATCCTCTCGGGTGTTGCAGGAGAACGTAGTCTCAGACATTCCGTGACTCCGTGGTCCGCGCGCGCAGACTTTAAGGCGTCTCTGATAGCAAAGAATACGGAGCTTCCCATAAAGAGCGGGGGCTCACCAACTCCCTACGCTATTGCATTAGCCTCATAACGATAACGGCGGTGGCGATGGATTGGCTAGTTTTTCGGCTGAGTTACCTTGCTTCGCTGAATAGTGTTCAGGTTCTTCCACTGGACATCCTTCAACATGCTGACGTTGAAGACCTGCGGGATGTCTCTGAAGCCGGGGATCTTGTATGCACCTGGGCCCCTCGTCGCCAGTTGGCCATTGTTGAACCATAACGGCTCTTCCGTAGTAAAGAGGCCCATCCCCTGCACGAATCCGCCCTCGATCTGGCCGTAATCGATGGCTGGGTTGATGCTCCGGCCAATGTCCATTTTGACGTCTGCCCTCAGACAGGTCCAGTCTCCAGTAAGCGTGTCAACCTCAACCTCTGCAATGGCAGCACCTTGCGTAAAGTAGAAGAACATTGAACCAGTATTCGGTCCCCAGGTATATCCAATATCAGGAGTCTTGTAATACCCGTTTGCGCTCAGGTTCACGCGATCGAAATATGCCGCATGCGCGAGCTGCTTCATAGTAGCGTCTGGGCCAAGCTTTTCCCGGTAGGGCCCGAGCCTTTCGTTGAGCTGTTGGCAGGCATTCCAGATCGCGTATCCGTTCAGATCGCTGGATGCTGATGCTGCTGTGGGTGCTGTATTTGCTACGGTATTTGTAGCGGTTTCCGATACCAGGATGTCTTCTAGCGGGACACCGAGAGCTTCCGCCGCTACCATGGTCATCTTTGTGTGCAAGCCCTGACCCATCTCGGTTCCGCCGTGGGCTACAAGGACAGAGCCGTCCTGGTAGATGTGCACAAGGGCGCCAGCCTGGTTGAGGAATAATGCGGTAAAAGAGATACCAAACTTAGTCGGGATTAATGAAAGCCCTCGTTTCTTCCATTTGTGGGTCTTATTGAACTCATCGACTATAATCGTGTTAACTCAGTACCAGGGCCGATGGTCATGGGGACTCACCCGCTTCTCGGCGCTTTTCATATTCGGCCTCCTTTTTGGCTGCCCTGACGAGCAATGGGACATGCCAATCTTTCAACTCTTGATTGAAATGCGTTTTCTCGCCTTCTTTGTACATATTGACCTCCCGGAGTTTGTCCACTGGCATACCGATAGTATCCGCAATCTCTTCCATATAACTTTCACAAATGAACATTCCTTGTGGTCCTCCGAAACCTCTGAAAGCCGTATTAGACATAGTATTCGTCTTGCAAACTCTCCCTCGAACATCAATATTCGGAATCATATAGCAGTTATCGATGTGAGAAAGGGATCTATCGCAAACGGCAGCGGAGAGGTCCTGGGTCCAACCACCATTACAGAAAACGTCTGCATCGAGGGCCACGATCTTTCCATCGTTGTTCACACCCACCTTCCATCGACCGAGGAAAGGGTGCCGTTGCCCGGAGATTATCATATCCTCATCTCTGTTCAACATATATCGCACCGGCCTCTTGAGCTTCTTTGCGGCGATGGCGCAGATACAGGCCAATTGAATTGATCTTGTCTCCTTACCACCAAAACCACCCCCGAGACGCTTCACCCTTGTAACAACTCTGTTCGCAGGCACATTGCAAACTTGAGCAACGTATGCTTGGGTTTCCGAAGGATTCTGCGTGCTGCTGAAGACCTCAATTTCGCCGTCTTCCGGCTTGGGGACCACGAGGACAGCGTTCGTTTCGAGGTAAAAGTGCTCCTGACCGCCCATTCTAGCCACACCTTCAATGACGTGGTCCGCCTCTTTCATGGCCTCTTCAACAGGCTCTCCATTGCGGATGTAATGAAAATGTTGAAAGAAGCTTTCCTTCTCAATCGCTTCCTCCGTGGTCAAGATAGCTGGCAGCTCCTCATATTCTATAGAAACAGCCCTAGCACCAAGTGTAGCAGCCAATTGTGTAGCAGCCAAGATGATACCGATCGGCTGTCCAGCGGTAAACACCTCGTCAACAGCAAAAAAGACCTCGTCGTGGGCAGGTGCCCCCCATCTGTTTGCCTCTGGAGAGTGCATGTCTCGGTGGTCGACATAGGACTGCACCCCAGGGATCTTCAATGCAGGCTCGCTGTTCACGTTAAGAATCTTGGCATGGGCTTTTGTGCTTAACACCAAACATCCATAAAGCTCGTTGTGGTGTCTAGGAATGTCGTCTGTGTACTGAGCTTCGCCGGTAACCTGCTTCATTGCAGCAACGTGCGGTACTCCCTTCCCTAGCACCGGTTGCTCATATGCAATTGCACTATCTTGATCTCTATTTCCAGTCGAGACTTCTCTTTTAATCTCATCCACTAGCTCTGCCGAAACCTCTCCTTCAAGGGCTCCCATGACCTCGTGCCAGAATCTATAGAAGAATCCGAATGCTAGTGACCTACGGTAAGTGGCCATACCACCGGGCACCCCAAATCTTAAATCGAAGTCCCGCTCCAGGGCATTCACAGCCCCTTCCAACGTCTCTTTGGCGTCCCACTTCTTCCCCACCAGATATTCCATTGTATTCTGAGCCTGTACCGTAGTCGGCGCCATTCCACCATATACCAGATTTGTCGATTCAACCACATTTTCGCCGTTGAGCGAAACTCTGAGGGCGGCATTGACGATAGCGATATCGTCCTCTTTCCTCTTTGCTTGCTTGTACGTCCTGATAAACTCGCCCTTTTCTCCGGAAATCGGCACCCGAATACTCGAGATTATTGCGTTCGGTGGGAGTGCAGTTGTCCGGTAGCCCTTGAAGAAGTTAGTCATTGGGATCTCGATCCCGCCGTCTTCGAGAGAGTGCGCAGTGAGCACACTCCGAGTAGCCACGAACACGGGATTTAGGTCGGATATGGGCGATGCCGTAGCGAGATTCCCGGCTGGCGTCCCGACATTTCTGATTTGGCGGCCGGCAAAGTACTCCAATTGCTTAAGCAATGCGACTAGGGGTTGTGATTTCACGGGCCCGTATTTCCCAATCCCTTCTTGAAGTACCCCTTCGAGATCTGTTAGGGTGATGTTCGCCCCTATAACTAGGTGGCCGTCCTCGAACGAGTAGTTCCGCAGCTCGGGAATGTCTCCTACGTATACCGAAACATTATATTGCATTGCCTTGAACTTAATCTCAATCTGTGTCTCCGTCGAGCCACCAATCACCTTGGCAGAAGGCAGGGCATTCTTGATTTCCAACAGCTCTTTCAACGTCGATGGCCTGAGCCATCTCTTCCGTTCATTACCGAGGGCTAGCCCCTTGAATTTATGCCTCCGAAGTGCCGGCGGGAATATAAGCTCCGTGTCCGGTTTATATTCAATAAACCCAGGTGGCGTGAACCTCTTCACAGGGTCAGCGTCCCCATCCACAGTAGACCTATTCCTGCAACAGCCCATGGGGGTCTCCCCATCGCCGCCCTGCATGCAGCAACCGCCACTGCCGACCGCTCCCCCACAGCCCGCCGTAGAACTAAACGTCTGAGCAGCGTCTAGTATCGGCCTGTAACCCGTACACCGGCAAAGATTTCCGTCGAATGCCTCCTCTATGTCGTGTTTCGTTGGGTCAGGGTTGTTCCTTAATAGAGCATACAAGCTCTGCCCACCATCAGAATCAGCGCTGCTCAAGCCGAGCGAGGTAGAAGAAGGAACAGACCATGACAATTCCAGGCGTACAAAATCCGCACTGTGACCCATGCCATTTTGCAATCCTCTCCTGAGCCGGATGCGGTTTGCTCACGTCCCCGATGCCCTCTACCGTTATAACATGCTTTCCATCAACGCTCACTAACGGTGCCAAACAAGCATTTACCGAAGCATGGTAGATCTTTTTCGTAGTAGGGTTGTACTGCGAGACGACCTATCACTAGGGCTTAGCCAGTAGCTTCTTAGAAGTGGACAAGGGGTGAAGGAGAACTTACGACAGTACAAGCACCGCAGCCCCCCTCGGCACAGCCAAGCTTCGTCCCGGTGAGTCCAATCCCGCGCAAGTACTCCAGGAGAGTAATCTCGGGATCAATGTTATCGATGGTCACTTTTGCCCCGTTCAGGTAGAACCTCAGCGTATCGTCCCACTCGGAGACTACACCGGCAAGTCTATGAAAGTCGCTACCGGGCACGACTGGCCCCGGCGTCGTGAGTATTCCAGGTGCCATTGCGGATCGTAATATCCACCCTCACTGGAAGGGGATAAGGAAGAGATGGGGTTGTAAGCGAGCTGAAGGGAGGTACCGTAAGGTAGACTTGGTTTTAGCGGCGGTTATGCAGTACTGCTAATGCATCGGCACTTGTGCCAAGGGGTTAGATATACTTATCGATAAGAGAGGTGTGCCCCGCACGGATTATAAAGTGCACTTGAGTCAATAGACCCACCTTTTGCAAACGGTGAGAACTGACTTGTGCAAACCTCGCCCCGGTACCGTATCTTCGAATGATTGGAATGGGGAAGCAGGGGCTGAAAGCAGCACTCTATCTTATCATATGTCAAGAAGGGTAGAAAGATGAGATGTGTGGGGGGGGGGGGGGGTTATGATATGATAGGAGAAGGGAGACGAACAGGCAAGAGCGAAGGGGAAAAGGGGAGGAACGGCCAGAGGGAAGAGTGACTGGTTAGGGTGATACCCGTCTGCCGTGCCGGTGTCTCAACTTTATTATTTGGAGCGGTATATAGTAATCGGGTAAGACACATTTGGTGATGCCCTTCTTGTCCAATCTGCACCTTCCACCCTCTTTGGAAACTCTACGATTGGCTCATTACCGGTATGAGAATCCGTAACAGGAAGGTAGCGAAACAGTGTATTTCATATGGCACTGTACCGGAACAGTATGGAGGGAGCTAGGGCAACTTCAAAAACTACTGTAGCCGCAAAAATCGCCATAGGACCACCTCTCATGATATGATATAAAATCATTGTTTTCCATGTTTTGCCTTATCCCATTTTATTCTCTCCCTCCCGGCCTATGGTACAGTAAAGCACTGCAACAAATTATTCCTCCAATTCCCGTGGCGGCACAGTATGTACCAATATCACCACTCTACTTCTTGTGATATCTTACTTACTCCCGGAGAGTTCCCCTTGCCTATGATATCCGTGCTTCTCACCCCTCCCCTCCGACCAGCACGGCACCAGCGGACAGCGCCTTGCCTCACCCCTCCCCTCCCGGAAGCGGGCCGGGGAGGGGGGGGCTTCGTGACAGCAGAGCACAAGTACGATAGTTTATCACAAAATTCCTATCATGCTCCGATCCCCCAATGTCCGAATGGCCCAGATTCCAATTCTTGTATCACATGCTCCGCCAAGTTTGGATCCCACCCCTCCCCTCCTCCTTCCTCCCCCTGTAACTGTACGGGAAGCTCGTCTATCTTTTCGAACCCAAACCCTCGATCCATCAACTTTATTCCATAGGCTGTACCACCCAGATCGTTGATTCTCGGATAAATTCCAAATCACAAAGTGCACTGCGGCTCCCCGGAAACTCGAAAAATGAAAATGAGAAGAAAAAAAAACGGTCCAAGTAGGGAGGGGGGGTTTGGCTCTATCATATGTGCCAACCCCGAGTTCAGACTTCGTGGCGAGAAATGGGTGGATAGTCTGCCGGTAGATAAATAGGTACAGAATGAAAGGAAGCGGGACTTTCATTCCCATTTTCTTTACCTTTGTCTCATGCTGGCAATTTCTGAGTTGACCTTTTTTTTAAAGAACAATACTCGATTGTCTTACTGTAAGTCTCTCTCTATTTCATTCCACAGCTCACTGATTCAACATTTAAACCACCTTACCGTATCCTACCTGGTCTCTGCTATACCTGCCTTATGACTCCTCCTCCGCCGTCTCCAATACTAATACTATGATACTCCCTTCAACAAGCTTCGCCCCGTTTGGCCAATATACTTTCCGCAACCAGCCTACTCCCAACACTTTCAGCATCCATCCGATTCTCTTCGGGACAACCACATGTACCTCCTCCTACGGTGCCTACCCTTCACCGGTCTCCGGAAACAACGCAAAGATCATCCCACCACCACCACCAAAGGGAACGAGAAAGAGGGTGGGTGGCATTACAGTAGAGATCTGGGATTAGTGTTTTCTCTTCTTCCAGTGCCCTGTCTCACATACGGTACCCAACCTACCTTCCGGTACCATACACAACCCACCGATGACGTGTGCCGAGGGAAAGAGAAAGTGAAAGTGAAAAAAAGAGAACATACATCTGTTATCCTTACCAGCCTCAGCCATAAAGAAGGAGGACAGTTAGGCTTGAAGCGAACAGAGACTTGAAAAAGGGTGCGGGGAGCGTGAGAATATTGCTGTTGTTGCAGTCTACCGTATGAGTACGGTGCGGTGCTCGAGTACTGTAGTGATGGTTGTTGAGCTTCACTTCCGTCTACCGGTAGCTGTCGGTGCGGTGAAGGGGTGTGGTATCATCATTACGATTCTAGCTTATCGATTTGCTAGTATGGTACTCGAGTGCTATCTCACCGGGAAGGCAGGAGGCACAGTGGAAATGGCATATTCCATTCCATAATGATTGTTTTCCACCACCGTTCCGGGAAATCCATGGCTGCCACCACCACCGCGCCACGATGCCCGAGATTGGGTGAAGGAGGAAAGAGAGGAAGCAGTGAGGTGCGTGTAGGGAGGCAAAAAAAGGTGGGAATGAAAGGGATCCAAGGATGACTTGATGGAGACAGCCTTACACATAGCACGGTGTTGCAAAATAAAAAATCACTATCATGATGTTATTGCCATGTGCTTGTTTATCGACAAGGGGAGGAATATTGTAAGCAGATATTTCTCGTTTGAAGGTGCTCATCCTTCCTGTCTTGCTTGGTGGTCTCATGAATCCGGCGCACAACTTACAGTATGATACAGGGTAGGACATAACATACAAGCACACACCTAACAATTTTAGTGTTTTTTTTTGGGGGGGGGGGTTGAGATGTCGTCTGTTCCCTCTCTCTATCTAGAGGCCACAAGATTGTTTTTTCTCCCCTTTTCTTTCGCTTCCTCCCTCAGCGTCTCTGCTATAACATTTGACTTACTCCAGATACAACCAATTCTCCATTGGTCATCCTCTAAAACAAGGAGAGGGAGAGGTAGCGGGTGTGTATGTGAGGAAGGCAGAGGCCCAAGTTGTGCGGAAGGGGAAATTCAAGAGCGGGTAATCACATTACAAGCAATGGGATAAAGGAGACTGGGGACAACTGATTTTGGGAAAAGGTGTGAAGAATTAAGAGAGACGAGAAAACCAAAGACCTGCTTTAACAAACAATGAAGAAGGAAGATGCTCAATGCGAAGAGTCCACTAAACCCGCGAAAATAACAAAAAAAGAAGATACCCATTTGAAAGCGGTAGGATGATAACACTCAGCGAAGATAGGAAAGGAGAGGAAACAGACAGCACAAGCACGGCCTACTTGAACAAAGAATGCAACCCGACTCCCGACCATCCACAAACAATGCCGAATCCCCCTACAATCGTGGGAGTCTCCTTGTAATGCTTATCCACGCCCAACCGATCCTCGTATGTCTCGTCGACTATATACTTCAAACCTAGCAGAGAAGGTTGGAAAAGAAATTCATGGTTGGTGATTTCCGTTGGGATTATCGTAGTATCCGATGAAGTAATCACGCACACGTGTATACTCCTTCTTCATCTCGTCAAGTGCAGACTTGATTCCTGCCAGGCTTACTTCAGGGTCTTCGATTCTGCCAACGCCAGTCTCATCTCGACTTAAACCGAGGTTCTGGATTTTCTCACAATAATCCTTCACCTTTGTGAGACCGAGGGTAGCGGAGGAGCCCTTGAGGAAATGGCCAAGCGACGAGAGTTCTTTGAGGTCTTTCTTCTTACTGAAGTGAGGAAAGTATATTCATGTTAGCGATACTGAATATAGACCCTGTCAGACAGAGGTGGTGACAGAGGCGGGAAGGATTGGAAAAGACGCACAGATAATCGCTCATGCTCTGGAACGTCTCCGTTGCCTGATCCATGAACCCCCAGACAATTGTTCTGCTAAACTCATGGTCTTCATCATCGTCCATCTCTAAAATCTGTTCGAAAGTTGCGAAGTCAATAGTGACTGTTCCGTCGTTACTATCAAGCGGCACCCGTTGGGACTGGTACTGCCATCAGCAAAGCCACAATAATTGACGGTAAACAGCGACATAGCAGGACTCACGCTTTCGCCGCCCTCAACCGTAGCGGTTTCCTTCGCGGTGGTGATATCCGTATCCTTAGAAGGCATTTTGTGTGTGATCAGGAAAATAAAAAGCAACGGGGTGGGTCGAAGCGAGCGGTTGAGAATTATTTTTTGATAAGTCGTGTTGCTGCCTCCCGTGGTAGGGAAAAGACGACAGGGGCGGGAAATTCGGAAGGGTGGTGAGGGGTGGTTAGAAGAGGGGTGGGGGGAGGTGGGGTCCTGCAGACCTGAAAACCGAAGGATGGAAAAAGGGAGCAAAGCGAGAAAGAGGGTGAAGGGCAAGGTAATTCGAAGTAAGGCAGTAGCAGTAGGGCAGACTAAGTGGGTCAAGTTTCGCAGCTGTCAAAAGGTGGTGGGTAGGTATGAGCGGCCAAGCAGGAGTAAGTAGAGGGGAGAGGTGTGGACGGAGGAGAGGGGGGGGGGGGGGGCAACGAGCGGTGGAGAGTAGAAACCAAACGGAACCGGAGATGTTACAAACTACTCTTTCTTGATCGATTTTCCTCGGGGGTTTCTTTTCTGGAGATGATGGGGGTGACTAGAGGCGATACGGTAGCCAAGGTCTGCACGGCAATGCTATTGCTTGGTATGCAGTATGATGGGTACAGTGAACCGTGGTATGCAAGAAGTATAATAGCAAGCTATGTACAGTATAATACTGGCTGTAGGAAGGGGGAAGAAGCAAGTGCCGGTGGTGCAGTCGGTGTGCAGGGTGAACGGGGAGCGGGCGGTAGCACGGGTCAAGACGAGACGGCCCCAACCCAACGACAAAGAGGACAAGCAACAGAAGTGATGGCGGGAGCGGTAGGAGGGTGGGACCGGGAGGGGGTGGATGTGCGAGAGCAAAGGGGAATTGGAGCGGGGAGGACGACAGCGGGGACTCCTGCAGCTAGCTTGACCCAGCATATTTTTCCTTCTTCAAATCTGAGTTGTGGTGAGCGCGTGCCTCGGAGTGGTCTAGCTCTGATGCCACGGACAAAACTGGACGCAAGGCGGTCCCAGAATTGAGAACTGGGCATCGAATTGGGCGGGTAGAGTACCGGTACTCGAGCATGGTTGGCAGGGGGCTGGAGGGGCTACCACGCAGTGCCGGGGGGAGGGAGCCATAGGCAGAGGAGGGGGAAAGCCTTCAAGTCCCTTGTGGCGTGGTGTGGGCATCAGCACGGATAAAAGTAGGAGCACATACAATTGGCACCCCATTTACTCTTCCGACTGTCGGATTTTTGTCGCTGTGTTCGGGTACGGTAATAGCGCAGAGCACAGCACAGCATGGTAGGGAATGCGGCTGCTGCTTGAGTGCATATTTTTTTTCGCCTCGGACATGTTCGCTTGCCTGGTGGGAATCGGGTTATGCTGTCGCTCTCGCTGTCGTCGATGTAACCAAAAGTGATTTTGCTGATACCAGCCCGGTCAGGCACAGAGGGCATAGTCTATCCGCCGTCTCCGCTATCATACTCTACGGTGATGTGCACAGTACAGTATCGTACATGGACTGCCGGTGCACATACGATAGCCGGGCTTAGGCTGGGCGATTCAGCGAGAACCGGTATTCCCGTATCACACCCTGCCCTCCGCTGCCCGAGCATCCGGGTTAGGGAGATCACTGGGTCATTGCCACGACCAACCAAGCTAGGCCTTCCTCTACTTGACCTTCCCTTCTCCGAGCACTTTGACAGCACTCGGGTAGTCTACAGCTCGGTGGTGTCAAGGCCATGGTACCCGTGACAATGAACCAGTCCTTGGTACATGCGGCCATTGTTCGGTTCGCTTTATCGAGCAGGCCCTTGGCATTCTCCGATTTCGCGGGCAACTCTGGCTTTCCCGGGGATCGCTCCTTTGACTCCAGTCTGGAAATTCGCACAGCTCGCCCTCTATGACAAAAGTGCATAAGCTACACCCAGAAAAGGTAGACTGTCCTAGCCAAATTGGAACTAGTGCGATGCCTTGGCGGCGAAACGTGTGCCTTGGCCTGTCTGCGTTCACATTTTCTACGCGACCATCACTCGAAGCTCCCAAGGATCATGGTGCCATTTCACGCCCCCGCAAACTAAAATCATAGAGCGGTGCAGAAGGTGGCTAGCGACATTCCTGTGATCAAAAGATCAAAAGAGAGGAAAAAACTTCCTTGCTGGCGGTGATCATTCAACTCGAAACCAAGCGATTTATTCTTCCTTACCACGAGCAAGTTTATCCCCACTGGAGCCACAAACTCCCTTTGGGTTAGCGTCCCATCCAAACTTTGTGAGATTGGTGCACGGACACCGATTCTTGCGTCATATCCCCCCCACCTCGCCCAGTTTAGGGTTCATCGGATGACGTCGGAGACTTGGAAGGAACAAAGCTTCTCCACGACCCATCCTCGACCGGAGGAAATAATGAAAAGCCGTCAGAATTCTCCGGCAACAAAGAATGGAATTATTTCCCTACCGCACGAGGAAACATCACCCTAAATTGTATGTATCGAGTTTCAATGCGTTTACAGAATGCGTTTGCCGTCAAGCCCTGTGATGGTGTGTTGTTTGCACATGTAGGTCTTTTGCTGCACGCGATACTCGTACCACAGGGAACTCTGTACGAGCAGACTGCAGTATCAAACCGTACTACCCGAGCAATGGCATTCAAGGTTAAGTATCTCTCAGTAACGCGTTAAACACGGGAAGTTGCATAAGGTTGCTTTACGGCGTTAGCCAATACCGGTACCGGTAGCCTCCTCAAGTTTTAGGGTACCGGTATCATAGCATATTTGGATGTGACGGGCTATGATAATCTACCGTGGGGTAAAGATAGGTAGATTTATCAAAAAAAGAGTCTTCGCTCATTAACGGGAAACCAATGCTCGGAGATCTTTGCTGGAGAATTTTTTGATAAATAGAATTCGATAGCCGTTATGGACCTCTTAGCTTCCGTACCGGAAGGATCATAACAGGGTAAGGCGAGGTAATTGTAAGTTAACTGTTTCTGCGCACGCCAAGCTTCCTCGCATGTATGATACTCGAGTACTGTACTCGCACATGAACACCGGAAGTTAGATAAGTTTTCCCCTGTTTTTCAATTTTGAATATTCCTAACATTAATATTGCTCGCGATCAAGCCACCATACCTCTAGCTGTACGTGCTCCAGCAACGGTGGAAAAGCCCGCAGCGCACCGCTCCTCCGTTGATCGCCATTGATCTCCGAAAGGGCGACAAATTTGTCGCGTTGGGCCTCCCCCACCCTACGAGTATAGTACAGTACGGTGTTCAGGGAGTCAATGACATTGGAGACCTTCCCGATACAATGCATACTCAACCCTAAACCCCTGCGGCCTGCTGGCTCTGGAGCGCATCGGATAGCGTACGGTGCGAACCGCACAGGGGTGGTTCGCGATGGGACAGATCGACGCCAGCACACCAAAATCGCAGTTACCTATGTTCGATAGCCGTTCTTTGTTATAAATACCGGCAAACCCGATTCAGTTCTACTTTAACCAACCACTCCTGAGCCCACCACACCAGTAAACCAGGTACGAGTACTTGCACTATACGAGTACTTCTACTCGGTATGATATCACGTGTTGCAAACCTCAGGGAACTGTTCCCCGCCTACCCAAAATTCTTAGAGGTGCATTCAATAGCCGCTCCGAATTTTTCACATGCAAGAGATGAACCCCTGGGTCCTGGAGCTTGATTTCCCCTATGTCCGAGCGGTTCGATATTTGCGAAATTCGGAGTTTGGAGGAACCCGTCTAACCTCAGACCCGGGCTTTGGGGGGCAGGTTTTAAGCGATTTGCGCTGTAATTATCATGTGCTAGCCTCGAACCGCCGGATATCATCTAAGCCTACCGATCCTATCACTCCCGCGGGCCAGATCAGAAGGAAGCACAACATCGCACAACATCCCAATCTTGATCTGTGACTAGAGGATTAGGATTCACCCGAAGGTCACATAAGTTCTGGTATTCTTGGTTCGCGTCGAACTGATAGATATCCCCATACAGCAAACCGGAGCTCCGGAGACCCTGGCCCTGACATATCGTGCCATCAGGATTGGGAGAGAAGGTGTGGTGTCTACTCTAACTGCCTGCCGGAACGTGGTTATTGAGACTATGATATGGAAAGATGGTCGGTGTTGTGGCAATCGCGCACTGACCAACTCGTGCCAAAGCCAACCCGACCGTACGTACAGTACCACCAACACCTGGACGGAATAGGGTCCCCCAAACCTTAGATGGATCCCGGGTGGATTCCGGGCGGCTTGGGTTTTCCCCAGCCGAGCAACCGATGACATGGGCCGTCGTCCATCAAGGGATTTTGAGCGTCAGAGGGTGACTTTCGAGCACCTAGAATATCGGAACTTCTAGCCCTTCGTTCACATGCCGAACCCCACGGAATCTTAGCTCGAGAGCTAGTGGAATACTAGGCTTCGGGGTGTACAGTACTCGTAGCTGAAGTCTTCTGATTGTGACCCCCCCCCCCCCCCCCGGTCAACTCCTCTGGCTCGGGGGATATGCTGGAGGTTTGGTCGGATTAGATGGTATTAGTACCATTTCAGGAAAAAGGCGGGCTAGGTCGTAGCTCCGTCAACACAAGTGGAGGGATCGCTCGCCCTCGAATTCGGGTACCGGCACCTTTCGGTGCTTATTTTGTCTTCCGATATTGAAAGGCCACAATAGGTTCAAAGGAGGTATGATTTTGGTCGCTCGATTATGGTCTGGCCAGTGGAATTTATGACCCAAGGAGACGACCGATATTTCCCTCAAGTGGCGATATTATTGCCCCATTCAGCCCGAGCGTGAGGTCGTGAATACATGTGTGCTACATCCTATCCCTTCGCCTTTACTCGAGTATTTGTCCCCTTTTAGTTCCCTAGAATACTCCGAGATTGAGAATACGGCAGTTCGTGTTACAATAGTGCAGACCTTCTCTACTGGTCACATCACAGCAAGGTCCACAAGCCATTAAGTACTAGCATTGGTGAAGATCAAAGGTTGACCCAGGGTCATTGGGATACTGGTATCTAGAAAATGCATAAAGTGACGATATCTGGCTTTGATTGTGAACCCCATCCATATCAACAAAAGCTAATCCAACGAGATCGCTGGATCAGGTGGATTCAATTCGGATCAGGATAGGAACCTGAATTATTTAGTGCCAGTTGTGAATTTCCATCCCGGGCCCATCCAAATCCAGTCCACTGCTCGAGGACAGCTAATATAATCCGAAATTCCGAGCACAAAAACCCGGCCAGTAATAAAGTCCAATATCTCGGATCTTCCCTATAGTAGGAGGTTAGGCCCCCCCTTCGGCTATAGTGCGATCATATGATGTCACTCGGTTATATTAGCAACACTCTTGCAAAGTGCATATCTCAGGAAATAAACTGGGGCGATGGTGGCCACCTCGCATAGATGACTTCAATCGAGTGAATGTATGGGTGGCCCATTGTTTGTCATCTCTTCCAACATAACATACCTTCTGAGGTAGGGCCAAAACCTCAACCTTGTTCACGAACCACTAACAGCTCTGGGCATAGTAGAATGAGGGCTTATTAAGAGGGGCCGTTTCGGAGTGCAGGATAGGCTGATCCCATTGTAGGAAGAGTATTAACAGGCGAGTATGATACCATACGTCAGCCCCGCAGAGCCTCTCCCTCCACTTCCGAAACCCCAATTGCTGGCGCAACCTTGTTTGTTTCTTTCCCGCTCATCGACTACCCATCCCCCTGAATCTACAACCGAAAGGCCCGGCATGGCAACTACTCGCGGGAGCAGAAAGCGTGAAGGTTTTCCTCTATGCTGGTCAAAAACCTGGGCTTATGATATACGACTGACTTGATAGCTGCTGGTGTTAAAGGGAATGAGCAAAGCCAAGGTCAAGGGAAAAGAACTCGGAGGAAACTGGTTGAATCAAAAGCTTCCAACAAACCAGAAATATCTGATGCGGAGGATGGGGATAATAGCAGTGGTGGAGAGCGCGTGGAAAGGGATGGAGAAGATGGGGATTCCCAACAGGGGTAGGGTTCCTGCTATCGGCAAGTGTTGGGCTAACATCAACAGGACAATAATTTTATTCGAGGAAAAATGTACGCCATGCTTCCTCTGCTCCCCTATTGGATCCAATGGCTTCGGTGCCCCGAGGCTAGCGAGATCTAATAGTCCATGGCAGTGAAAGCGATGAAGAAACAAAAAAAGTCGTCTTCTAGCAGCCACGTTTCTAGATTTCGCAAGCAAGTCAAAATCGACCAGGAGAAATTGCTTTCCACTCTGGGTGATCAGAGAGCTCAAATGTTTTCTACAAGCCACCATCTACAACTCTCAAAATTCCCGGGTTGCTGACCGTGACGCCGGGGTTAGAAATTCGGAGGCGGCAGACTTTTCACGATTGTTTACTGGCCTTATTGAACAAACCCTACAATATCCAGCCGGGCGTGATTCGGAAGACTTGACCGACGACCCCTCGGTGTTTGTTAAAAGCCATCCACTTTTTAGTTATCAAGAATCGGTACTTTCTCTTTCGAAGACGATCACAGATTCTGCGGAATCAATTCGAAATGCCTTTGTTCCCACGCTGGACCGTGATCTTGAGCTTGGGAGGGGCTGGGAAAAAGACAGCACTGACGCGGTTGATGTGCTGTTAGAGGGCCGTCAATCAACCCATGACAAATTACTAGCGACGATCGTGGAGGGGTATAAAGGGAATAAGGCTCAAGAAGAATCCGAGGACGGTGAAGATATCGGGCAAAGGGAGTGGAAAACTACGACTCGGAAGGCTCGAAAAGGGATTGGGAAGCTAATGAAAAGTTTAAGTGTTCCCCTTCCGGACTCTGAGGGGTAGTGCTTCGAGGATATGGGCGCTTAAGGCAGAGACTAGATTATTGTCCGGTTAGGTGGAAGAGCGTTAGAGAAGAATATATAGTTTCCAAAATTGAATGTTACAAGAACACGAAGCAGAGGCTAGAAGTGGAAAGCTGCATTGGGAGCACGAATTTGCTGGGGGCGGCTAATTAACAACAGATATCTGAACGAATGCCCTGTAACCGCAATCCCGCGGCCCACCTGTAATGAGGGCCAGCTCCGGTATCATATGACTGACGATTGTCGGAGAGCGCGGATACCCATTACTTGTAAATGAAGTGGAAACCCCGCACACGACACCCGGACTCCCGGATAGCACAAAACAGGAACTTAGTTCAAGAAAAACAAACACAGCCCCAAGGATAACCAAACCTTCCGGCTCTCATGCTCAGAACTGAGCCATCATCTGGAGTTACATGCGCGACGTGTTTGTTGTGGGGGCGCACGCTCCACACATTTTCGGATTTTCTGAGCATGGGACCAACTTTGCTGAAGATAGAAGGAGTCGGCTCGGAGCATTCGTCTTGCTCGGTCCAGTCTGGCCGGTCGGTAGGGACCAGCTGCAGCGACAGAGAACGGCGCCTGTGAGACGATATCCGATGGAGATATTCCTCGCTCGACTCTTCCTCTGCAGCAACCGGGGGGATCTGGAATTGAGCTACGGTGAAACGATATCGCGATGGGTCAACGTTTCGCTGCGCGACCCTTCTCCTTAAATCCTTCTCTCCAGCCTCCCCCAAAACGTCTTCCGCGGGCAGACTATCTGGTCCGGAAGCACGAGAGGAAGGTTTTGCAACATCTGAGGGTAAATCTTTCGTGTAATGTTCCACAACCGGGAGTGTCAACTTGTGGACTTTCTCTGGGTCAAGTGGCTCGGGGGTCGCCGTGCGCGCAAAGTCAAGCGCAGCAGAACATGGTATGTGGTGGTATGAGCTTTGGGGAGGGCACTTCCGTCGGAGACGGCGCTGTGCGCGGCGTTCCTTTCGGCGGGCTTCTTCAGTAATTGTAGTCATTTCGTCGACAGGCCCCTTCGTATACGGAAATACAGATCATGAGCACTAGATACTAGATCGGCCATGAGTTGGGTAGAAATATGAAATGGCCCAACTCACACTTGGGAGCCCTAGGGCAGGTTTTGCTACCATCATGAGGTATGCTCTGGCTAAGTGGCGATGTGAGAGGATTATTATTATAAGGGGCGGTAAGGCTTCCGGAGGCGCTGATGGCGATATATGGGGGCCCTTGGGATTCTCATCGAGGTGCGAATGAATGTATCGCACTTATAACCGACGTCCAGAAGCCCCAGGGGGAGCTTGAACTTATACGCAAGGGGGCAAGAGAAAAAAAAAACACCCATGTTGCGCTATCTGGTGCCGCGATCTGTACCCCATCTTGGAAGGGTTCAGGGAAGGTAGAATATGACGAACCAAAGCAAGATGCAGTAGCGTTTCATTCAATCATGTCACTCTTTACATGCCTTTAGCAAGGTACGGGTTGCACACTACTGGTACTTCAGGTCATCTGTGCCGCAACTTTCTTAGCAAAAGTTTGAAAAATGCGGGGGAATGTGATCACCGGGGTCTTCCGCGTGCCTTCTGGTGGCAGCTTACAGGTACCGGTACTGTACCCCGTCCAATCCGCTCATCGTCCTGGACAATATTGTATAAGCCTTTTCACGGATGGATGGATGGGGTGAAGAGCTCCGCCTCAAGGTGCAGTCTGCGGGTCAGTGAATAGAAAGGTCCAATGCTGGAAGGCCTTTATTTCATTCTTTCCCTTTTGCTTCTTCAAAGCCGGCGCCCAGCGGGCATCCGAATTTGGAGTCGCGCTTTCCTTTTCTTCCCGAGGCCCCACTAGCTGCGAATTCCGATGCAAGCTTACCACGATGGCACTGGCAATACCGGTACCAGTGTGGTGCCTGATGCTCGAGTGATCAGGGAAAAGGGAAAAAAACAGGAGACCTCTCACTCGTCCGGTGGATACAGTACGGTACTTCGCAGCCTGCCTGAGGGCTATGATTCGAGGAGAGCACATGACGTCCCACGTTCAGGTAGCGGTGGCCAATGACACTGCACGCCAGTGGCTCCAGTCAACACGCGATCATCAAGCGCAAGCCCTGCTCTGGCGAACAGGCGAGGCTCAAGGTTACATCCGGCGTTTCCTTTGGGTACTTGTACAGTAGTGTACTCGAGTACCGTACAGGACTCGTACATACCAAGTACGGTACTGGTGGGGTAGACTAATTATCCCTAGTCGAACCTACGTCCCTTTAGGCTATTCGAGTACAAGCACTCGAGTACTGTATCTGATGGGAGAGCCAGGGGAGAGCGGGGGTTGTGCGTGGAAGGTGCCGGGTTTTCTTTGTTTTGTGGTGCTTTGTGGGGATGCGATCTTGTGCTGTGCGAGTACAAGCGCTGGCACAGAAACACGAGTATCCTCCCTGGGGGGGGGCCTGAGACAGTCGAATTCCTTGACAGGCGCGCTAAGTCGTACTCGAGGGCCGTACCGCTATGACAGATCATTTAGGATCAGGAACATGTGATATTACTTGTGCAGCAGCAACTAGGCGGTGGTAATGCCTTCCTCAGGTGGATAGAAGAACGGATAGACCCGGGGCTGCCGCTGAGGTGGGGAATGTTGGTTGGATTGAGGGGTTGGAGGATCCAATAGTGATCTCTTGGAGTACGGTACCTGTACTAGTATGAGTACAGTACGGTACGGTAGTCCCAATGGCAAACACATCAAGATCGATATACGGTCCTTTTCGCGTTTGTAGATTCCATGATATGCCCCCGAGCACCCTCCTCCCTCCTCCCTTCCAGTAGAACAGACGCCCTTTGATCGATCCTAGTCTGGGGCCACGGCAAGCAGGGCAGTCTACGGTACTCGTAGTCGTGTAGTCTAATTCCGTGGCAACCAACTTATAGTACTTGCACACTACACGGTGCTCGCCAAAATCAAGGGTCTGTCCCCAACCTTCCCGGTTACTTATGCACAACCAACAGCTCCACCGCACCTCGCTTGACAAAGTACCCCCCCTCAACACTACCAGAGACAGCGGTGGGGATATTCGATTCGTCAGCGGTACCAGGTAGCTATCGGCATACCGGTAGTTCTGCTACGGTATCCCCAAGGCCACCCCTAGATCATACCTCGGAAAGAGACATTCGGTTCCCGCAAGTACCGTACTCGGGTACGCGGTGCTGTAGGCGCTAATTGTAGCAGAACAACGAACTCGATACTGCCCCTGATTTACCCCAAACCGAACAAACCGGGGCAGTCGACCCAACCCAGCGGGAATGCATTATCCAACTTATCCCCATCGCAATTGTGATGACTTTTGTCTGCACTTGCCCACCCGCATGGTTTGCTTTGTTGTGTCATACCATGTGCGGTTCCAATTCTGCATACCAGTACCGTATCTGATCTGATATGGTGCTCTCCTGGAATTGTGATATATTACCAGAATAAGCGAGGCACGTGAGGTTCGGGAGGTGTGGGGTTGCAACGGGCTGGGTGTCGGGATTGGGATGGTTCGTTATTTATTGCGGGTACGAGTATAATACATCAGAGGATTTTAATTTTGGGTGACGATGGGGATGGCCGGTAAGCTGTTAATCAACACCGTTATGATACCATACCGGCATCATCATTGTCACGCTCCGTTACCTCACCTCGCCTCACCCTCGTTGCCCTCGTTACAAGTACCGATAACATATTTTTTTTATTCCCCCCCCCCCCCCCACTCCCTCATCGACACACTCCGTTCCGTGACATGATATGCTTTCCCGAATCGACTTGACTCCCGCTTCCCGCCCGCTCTTGCTCCCTGACGAGACATTGTTATTCGTGCAGAACGCGGTCGGGATTTACGAAGGGTGTGTTCCGCTTTGTTTTCCCCGGGCCCACCATTACCCCGCACTGACCCATTGGGATAGGAAATATAAGATTCCGAATTACCAGAACGGTAGCGCGTACTTGACCTCGCATCGGGCTTGCTATGTCGATAACGAAGATCCGAGGAAGTTTTCGGTGGCGGTGGAGCTAAAGGATGTTGATCGGGTGGAGTGCTATGTTTGTACCCTTCATCCCATGCACCTGTCTTGACGCTGGAAGCTGAGGGAAAGGTGTTGCGATGTGCAGGCCGGGTTTTTGAAATCCTCTCCGAAGATCACATTATTTCTCAAGCCTCCTGCTACCGCCGCTGTCGCTGCTACCAACAACTTTACGCCCTCGCCGGGGAACAGGTCTGCGGTGTCAACACCCAAGCCCGCTACCCCGCTCATCAGACCGACGTCCCCGCTACCGGCTTCGACTGGCGTCTGGATATGCCCTATATGTTCGTTCTCGAACCCCATCCCGTCGAACTACATCCCGCAGGTGACCCCCACAGGGTCCATCCCCCCGTGTCTAGCCTGCGGGATCAGGCCATCTCCGGGGGTACTGGAGAGTTCGTCGCAGCAGCCTCCGCCGAGGTCGCCGACACCCTTGTCGTCACTGTCGCCACTGCATACTGCTGGGAGCGGGCCAACCCCGAGCTCATCTACTGCCACTGCTACCACTACCGCCACCGCCACGGGCGACAGCGACGAAGCCACGTTCGCCTGCCCAAGGTGCACGTTCTTGAATCACCGCTGGCTGCGTTCCTGTGAGATATGCGGGGAGCACTTGATTAGCCCGGACCTCCCCACGGAGCAGCTGCTAGAAGCCACGCGCGGGGAGTCGCCGGCTCCAACCTCGATAGCACGTAAGGGCGGGCTTATCGGGGAGAACGTGGAAGTGGTGAAGTTCTCATTCCGCGCCGGCGGTGACAAAGTCTTCCACGAGCGGCTCAGGAATGCCCTGATACAGCGAAAGTGGCTACTGCAGAACGCTCCGCCGGTGCCCACGCCCGGACAGAGCGGCAATGGTGGGGCGTCGAGTGGTGGCGGGGCTTCTGGCGCGACTAATGCTGATGGTGGCGCGGCTGCCGAGAGAGTAGTGGGCATTGCAGGGCTCGAGCGCGCGGGCCGGAATGTGCGCAGGAAGAACGAAGCCGCCATCGGCGGAGCCTTTGAGGACCTGGAAGCGCTCATGGGCCGGGCCAAAGAAATGGTAGCCCTGGCAGAGGAGTTTTCCACACGCCTAAGCTCGACCCCGACATTCGCCAACAACGAGGCTAAAGCCGTGCTGCGCAACTCCACCCAGGCCCTCGGCATCGTGACGAAGGACATGCTAACCTCCGCCACTGGCGGCGGCAGCAACAGCAGCGATAAAGCCTCAGACCTCTACCTCTCCGAACTCGCGCGCCAGGTAGCGGAATTCCTTGCCGACGACGCGCGCGGCATACTCAAGCGCGAGGGCGGGGTAATCACGCTCGTCGACCTGTGGGCCATATACAATCGTGCCCGCGGCATAGAACTCATCTCGCCCAGCGACCTGGAGAAGGCCACCGGCCTATTCGAGAAGTTGAAGCTCCCTGTGCGCGTTCGCAGGTTCCGGAGCGGGCTACTCGTCGTGCAGGAGGCTAGGAGCTCCGACGCCGAGACAGTCAGGAGGATCATGGAGTGGATTTCTGGACCCGGGTGGGGTAGGGGTGTGACGGCGGCCCAGGCCGCGGAGAGGTTTGGGTGGAGCATTGGCGTGGCAGCGGAGGAGTTGGAGATGGCCGAGGAGAGGGGCGCGCTTTGCCGTGAGGTTGGGGTCGAGGGGGTGAGATTTTGGAGGAATTGGCTTGTGGAGGAGAGGAGGTGATTATGATGTGGGAATTATATACTTGGGTGTGCCACGGGGTGTTTGATGGTGGTGGAATGAGATTTTTTTTGCCCCCTTTGTACTATAGTAAAGAAATAGATGTGTGGGCGAGGTGGCATATTAGACATTGGAAAATACAGTACTGTACGAGTACTCGAAACATCCAGGGATCCCTGGCAACCTAGACTACAAGAACAGAGGTAACCCTGTGGAAAAATTTCCATCGATATATA